GCCACAGCCACAGCCACAGCCACACCGCCGCCGCCGCGGCGCCAGCCACGGCGACGACGACTGTCAACCATCAACACCAACCACCATCAGCAACAACCACCACCACCACTGCAGCAACAACGGCAACGGCAGTACAACACGAGCCGTCAAAAGTAGTTCTATCACTCCGCCCCCACTCTGCCATCGACACTTTTGCAGCAACCGTGATAGTTTGCACGGAACACCGCCACCGCCGATGCCGGCACCACCACTACGACCACCACCACCATCACCACAATGGTGAAGCGGCAGGTAGCCCAAAATCTGGGAGTCTAGTATGTCCAACCTTATGGCACCTGCCGCCTGGAAATTCCCTGGTTTAGAATTGTCTTCACTTGTCTTCCGTGTTGCGTCGTGTTGAGCCGCACATCCGAAATCGACGACCATCCCCCGCCGTCTTACAACATCATCAGCATCATCCATTCCCATCTTAATCGCCATCATCAGAAGTCATCATCATCATCATCATCAGCACCAGTCATCAGCAGCAGCAACAGCAGCCGTCGCCAGCAGCCACCGCCGCCATCAACAGGTATCCATGATTCGGATCCTTCGCGAGAGACGTGGCATCTGAGCTGGTGACTTGAGCATGCGTAACTGCGTAGCAGGAACTCTGCCAGCAGGATGTCAAGTAGAATATGTTTGTCACACGGCCACTTGCAGACTTGCAGCCGGTAGCCTGGTAAGCAATGCTTGTCGGCGACGTGCAGAACAGCGTGCAGACATTTCTTCTCCGAATGCCTCTGACTATTTCCACCAACACAGCCGTATAACCCCAGAGCAAGCTGAGGCATTCGCAAGAACGTGCTTGCGCCGTCGGCTGAAACAGATGTGGATGCCAAGGACCAGCAGTGTCGTGGATTCGTAAACGTGACGACGCATGTTGTCAGAGAGTTCAAATTGCAGTTGCAGCATCTCTTGTCAGAAGCCGCTAATGCGAGCCCTCTGCAAGAATGGGGGCCACTTACCAATGGACCAAGCCTAAATAAACCCGAAGGAGATCAGAATGGCTGGCATTCACTGGCGCGGGGACCAGCCGGATGGTCTCCGCTTCTGGAAAGCCGAGGTCTGTGGTGCTCTCCAGTGTGAAAGCAAACTTTGCTTCTCGCTTTTTCCGCAAGGTTCTCGCCCATGTCCTGTAACTGCTATCAATTCGACCAGCTCTGACGAATTGCAGGCTAGCAGCTAGCCTTAAGGCCTCGCGGCCTGAAGGAGAGTGATTAATGAAGAGATGCCTGCACAGGAAACTCCGGCAGAGCGACGGGTCACTCTGTCAGTGCTGCCAGCACGCCAGCAGCTTGACAGAGTAAATAATTCACATGCCCGTGAAATCCGAAGTTCCAGCGCACTGGCGCTTCAACACATAGGGAAGTTCGCGGATGTCCTCCAACCAACCGTGGCTTGTGCTGTGGTTGGTCACCGATGAATCCCGCATGCGTTCGCATTGTTTCCCCGACTGGCAGGGTGATGTGAGGGGTTCTCTGCCCTTTCGCTACACATATTACATCGCCTTACTCCAAAATCCTGCCGGCAAGTGCCCCAACCTTGACCCACAGAGAGTTGGCTTTCTCACACTACGAAAGGCCAAACAACCGCAGAGCGCTGAATATCCTACCGTTCCGCCTTCAAACCATCACGGCATTATTGCCAGATGCCAAAATTGCACCCTCCTTCACCATCCTTCACCCAGATGTGTAGGCGGAGCGATTAATGGAGTGTCGCGTATTGTGTGGTTGTTCTTTTCTCGACAATGCTCCTGCCGTTCTTCGCAGCTGGCTCTCGAGCTGCGCGACACTGCCACGGAAAAGGGCCACAGGGCTTGGCGGCATGAGCTTTAGCGCCGACCGACGAAAGCTAAAGAAGTTGGCTGAGCTGTGTTTGCATCGGATATCCCAGGTTTGCGTACATCCTTGTTTACATCTTCGTGGCCCAGCTGTTCTTCTATTTCATGCAGCCCGGTCTGCTTTTGACTGCAACGTTTTCTGTTTGAGATTTAGGTTCTGTCCTCTGGCCTTGGTGGGGCTTCTTTCTCACTCTGTTACCAGGTCTGCGTATGTTCGTGTGCAATTGTCGTGTGAGAGACAGTAGACCAAGCATGTAATCAGCACAAGATGCCTCGCATGTGTAACTGCGAAACAAAAAGCACTGTGGCGCCTTGAACGATGTACCGCGATACATAACAAAGCTTTCGTGAGTACTTGAGAGATCCGTGTTGCCCGGGTGAAACTTGCCTATATGGCAAGGTCTCGCAGAAAGTATCCGATATCCTACATGTCGAGGTGGCTCACAGCGATGCTACTGCCAGAAACTAATCATGCAAAGACCAGACTTTGCCAGAAGATGGTATTAGCTAAGCTTGGCTTAGTTCTGCGACTCTGCAAGATTCTGCAAGTGTTTTTATGGGAAGATGCAAGCAGTGCGAGGCAGAAGCCTTGGCACGACTCTTCACTGGAAGGTGCGAGCGGGGCTAAGGGCGTGCAGCTCGCGGGCAAGGGCCGCTCGGCGAAGATTCCAGCTTGTGTTCAAGAGCGGGTCCGGTGAGTTTGCCCACAATCCTCGAGGAATGGAGCTGAGCTCATCTGAGGAGTTTTGCTCGTGAACTTTGCGATTCAAACGGCTGTCGCCTTCGACGTGGACGATGCAAAGATCATCCGCATATCGAAGGCCGGCTTCGGCCAGCAGCCAAGATGGCCAAGAGAATGCATGCCTCAGGTCGATGAGATCACTTTCCTTTGGAACACTTTGCTGATGGCCGAAACCCCAGAGGTCGGAACACACCATGCCGAGTGGCGAGTTGGGCAAGCCAGTCCATCGTCGAAGATCCAAGCGCTTGTGAGCTGCAAAAAATGTCAGATTGTACGTACCGGCCTACACCTGCCGAGGCCATAACACTGCTCTACGTCTTGATCCAAGTGCGAGTCTCAGTTAATCGGCATGCCTCTCAGGAGTCACGGCAAGAGATGACCAATTAGGAAGTGAGAAGCAAAACACAGGGGTCCCACGGAGCACTTGACCAATTTCCCCAACACGCAACGGCACTTCTGCATGCACGAACGTGAGGAGTGTGACAAAGCCGGCATGAGCTCGACGTTCTTGCCTCCCAGCGAGGCATAGATGGGCCGGTCTTTGGCTGGACTGTCAGGCTTCAGATCTGGGAATTCTGCAAAGGCCGACATCATGAGTCGTTGTAGACCCTTCTTCTGAAGCCTCCCTTTCTTGATCCGCCAGCATCCGAAGACAGTTGAAAACCTCAGTTTGTTGGCACAAGTGCAGCCATGCCCTGCAGTTTTCAGGCAATGCACATGCGACCAGACATGTGCTCTCGTTTCTGAATCGCTTCAGAAGAAGTGATTCATGATTTGACAAGGCTGCTTCAGAACCTGAGCCATAGATTCGGGGAAGCAGAGATGCCTAGGCCTCCTGGAGTTGAACTTGCGTGTCGGAGAAGACATTTCGATTATATTTCATTTTGTTCTTCGCTTTAGTTAATGTCCCTACAGCGTGAGAGCAGGGGGATGGTTAGGGTACTGCTAGGGGTCAAGACGAGAGGGTTCGACAGAAGGTCTTGGACTCCGGCCAACAGCCCCTGCATCGTAAATTATGTAGAGCTAAGTTCATGAGTCTGCATTATTCCGGTGTCCCTCCACTCCGGAATAGAGGGGTGTGGCGATGCCACTGCTACACCTCAATGCATTCGTGCCGATGCACTTGTTTCCAGGCATACTCCGAGGACTGGTGGCTGTGGCGACGAGGTCTGTTCCGATCTGTCCTAGCAGAGATCCAAGCGTACGACTCGCTTCTGCCTTTCGGTCGCAGAATCTTCAGAGGAATAATTAAGATTGGACAACTGATCACATGAAGCCGGGTTTGTATGTTCTTCACAGTGGTTGTGGACTGATATGCTTTCAGCGTCTGTCTGGAAAGTGGAGTTGCCAAAATTTTCGGTGAAGTGCTGTCGCTTTCGGTATGTAGCCAAATTTGCGATCGGGTACGGCATGAATCGCTGCTCGTTCGGCAGACATTGTCTCCGTCGCCAAAGCATCAGCAAGATATGGCTGGAGACACGTCATTTCCGAAGTTGGCGAGATGGCTTTCTGTTGAGATGCGAAGTCATTCCTGCAAATATCCCGGTAGCAGGCGTAAGTCCGTGTCCGCCTTGGATGCGAGGTCCGTCTTTACGGAGCAGACCATAATGCCGCCCTTTCTGGATTAAGGGTGGTTGGACAGCAACAAAGGGCAGAGTCAGGCTCTGAACTCTGATCCGGTTGTTCCACAGAGCTTGAAGACATGATCTTTGTTTTGGCCATGTCTTCATCGTAGACAACAAGTCACAGGGGAACCCTCGCCCTCCAACGAGGCTCTATGTGCTTGGCGAGGTTGGCAATGTCATTGGGCTCGGCCCATAGTTTTGAATGCCCAACAGCATGGGGAGGACAGGGGAGCTGGATTGAAGACATGTCAACACCGATCGAAACCATCCCAGCCAAGAAAGCTCATCATCACTCGAAGTGCGAGCCCACACATGTTACTACGTAGTAGTGGTTTTTCAGGTCCCTGATTGCGCGGGCGCAAGTTGCATACTTAGCCGACTTGCCCTCCTCCTCCTCCTCCTCCTACTACTACTACTACTACTACTACGACTACGACTACGACTACGACTACGACTACGACTACGACTACGACTACGTCTACGACTACGACTACGACTA